GCGAGCATGTTTGGTGTGACGGGGATTCGAACCCGCGACCCTCAGATTGCGAGTCGAGTGCCTTAACCACCTGGCCATGCCGGGCCTTCCTGAGTATAATACCTACGTAACACATTTCGTAATACGAGAATATTTCACACCACACGTCAAGTCACAAATTAATACATAATAATACTGGAAATAGTACCCACTAACCTTCTCGAATCTACCACGTAGTCGTAGCTCCCAGAAATGAGAAACATGAGTCACGCAGCAACTAAAGTTTATACTGGTATTAAGTAATTGCTCAGATCAGTAGCCTCCTGAAATCTGGTAGAACTAGTAAATACATGAACTCTGACAGGACTACTAAATACATTCTACATATGTAAGAAGTATCAGCGTTACCTCATAGTTCAAAAAGGATGGAATATTTGACGGATATATAGAAAAACTCGTTATATCCGCATTTTCTTTCGAACAAGCTACATACACACACACTTATATGCGTGCATATACATTATTTGTTTGGTATTAAAATCAGTGGGTAATATAAATTATTTAATACTTGAATACATGTAAATAGCCAGTGCCGGATTTAGACTTGGTGAGGCCCTAAGCTATATAAAGCTTGGAGGTCCCTTGTTAAAAAGTTACACCATATATATATATATTTACCTTTTAATTATTTAATAGCAAGGTATTTAAAGTGAAAAATTACATATTTATCATTTAGCTGGCTTGATCTCTCTCATTGATAAAAATTTAAAAGAAAAAAAAAAAAATCTGAAATTTTGTGAGGCCCCTGCGGATTGTGAGGCCCTAAACTGTAGCTTGTTTAGCTTATGCCTAAATCCGGCACTGTAAATAGCAAACATTATTTCGATCGAAACATTTGAAATTCGGCTAAAATATACATGCATACAAATACATACACACACACATATACATACATGCAGAGTGCTCCAAACGTTACTCTCCTTACATTTATATCTCTTCTGTCTAAGTACTATTTGGCTGTTTTTGTTTTATCAGTCTGTTCACATAAACGTACACACTGATTTGAAAAACATCAAAATTCGTAACAGTTAGTATATTGCCTTGGATATGTAACTACTGGGCCGACCTAGATATGTATATTTCTCATAACACAGATTTTTTATATATTTCTATAATACGAGTACTCGATATTGTGGCAGAACAGCATGATAAAACCAATGCGTTTTTCATTTTAAACTACACCAAAGTTGGAATTTCACAGAACAACCGTGACGAATATTCATTTTTTAAACTGCATAAAATTGTAAGATTAAACATTTACACATTCACTAAACTTCCACGGTTTAAGTTCAGTAACTATAACACATAGGCCCGTCCGTCCCACCAAAAACACGCTCGCCCTTTCAGCCGTGGGGGCGTTATAAAGTGACAGTCCATCCCACTATTCATTGGTAAAAAGAGAGTAACCCAAGAGTTGGCGGTGGATGGTGATGACTAGCTGCCTTCCCTCTAGTCTACTCACGCAGATAACCCTCGTGTAGCTTTGAGCGAAATTCAAAACAAACCAAAACTATAACTCCGTATCTACAAGCAGTTGCAGTCGTTAGTTCAGTAAAAAAAAAAAAAATTGACAAACTTCACAGATTTATTTGAAAACGATGTAAAATATGGATTTGAAAACTAGAATTACGTTATTAAGCTAAAGTCAGCTAAATCTGTTATTTTATCATTAGAAGGATTTGAAACATTGCATATGTAAGAGTTGAGTGTCAGACGTGGCCGCGCCTCGAACAAGATGTGGTGCCACTGAACACCACGCTCCACACTTTCAGCTTTGGGCGCGTTATAAAAGTGATAGTCAATCCTACGTTACTCGGTTCAAAGAGCCAGAAGAAAAAAAACTCTTGTGATGGATGGTGCTGCTGGCTGACTGGCTACTCTGGTCGTTGGCTGAAAAGGGCCCAAGTGTACATAAGGTGCTGTTCATGGTGAAAATGTCAATTCCAGTACAAGATTTAAATTGAAGCTGGTCATTGCCAGAGTTTCGCTGTACTCTATCAGTATGCTCCAAAATAATAGAAGAATAAGAAGAAATTCCGTGATAATAATTCACTGAAGCAGAATGATATACTTTTTGTCCGACCAGTTACTTTTTTTTTCGAAAATGAATATATTTAAAACTGCAAAAAGAGTAAACATTCGTTTAACGATTTTGTACACAAATAACTTTAGAATATTAAATAACAGACATACAGGATGCATAGACAAGTAGATAGACAGAGACTATGAATTTGAAAAACAAATATTATTAATCCTTACAGTTGTAAACATATGGATTCAGTTACATTCTACATATTAGTCCTTATAGTTGTAAACATATGGATTCAGTTACATTCTATATATTAGTCCTTACAGTTGTAAACAGATGGATTCAGTTACATTCTACATATTAGTCCTTACAGTTGTAAACATATGGATTCAGTTACATTCTACAAAAGATGCGCATTGCGAAACTATTTATTTTAAATATTTCATGATAGTAAAATACGTTGTTGTTCTTGACGCAAAGATACGCAATGGGCCATTTGCAAGATTCCCAAGATTTTAGTTTTCTAACTCCGTGAACTAACTCACCGAAGAACATTTATAAAATAATAGGTCACCTATGTAACCTTGGGTGATAAAAAGTATGAAATAGTCATAAAAAAGGAACGTGTGTGAAGAAAGTTTCAGGTCGATTCAGTTAGAGCACCTAAGCATATAAAGTGCATATGCAAAACGTACACGCCGCTCAAGAACGGATACTGTCGTTATGGCAACACTAACCACGCCACGTCTACGTGTACATATACAAAGTCACTCTATAGACTTTTTATATTCAATCTGGTGCAATTATCCGACGCCAGGGCAACATAACACCGGTGTGTTTGTAGTACCGTTAATCAATCTTTCTGATAACTAGCCATGATGTTATTATGATTAGTCTGACCAGTCAGATATGTTGCCTTGTTAGCAGTTAGACACAAATAACGTACCGGTTATCTTGACAAGAATTTTGTCACGCATTACATCTGTGACGTAAAGTGAGTCACTCAGAATATATTTATCATGCTAGCTCTCTCTCTATGTATACATATATATTACAAATACGCTGGATTTTATTCCCCTTTTCCTTAAAAGCTTATGTTCTAGTCTAAAGATGTTTGAGTACATATACGTTCTGACATTTGGAGTAAAAACACAACTTGTTTTCTTGCATGGCCAAGCTGCTTTTATAAGGGTTACACCAGAACCAACATATGTCAATTTTTAAAGTGCTTCCCAAGCAATTCATACAAAAACAGCACATAAAAACATTGTAGTGCTCTCCCCTCCCCCCAACCTACTACATCTACATATCATATCAGAGATTTAGAACAATTGACCTGAACATACATCCACAACCATACTATTGTGCCACCTGAGCACACACCCACAACCATACTATTGTGCCACCTGAGCACACATTCGCAACCATACTGTTGTGGCACATGAGCAAACATCTACAACCATACAGTTGTGCTACCTGGGCACACATTCGCAATCATACTGTTGTGCCACTTGGGCACACACCCACAACCATACAGTTGTGCTACCTGGGCACACATTCGCAACCATACTGTTGTGCCACTTGGGCACACACCCGCAACAATACAGTTGTGCTACCTGGGCACACATTCGCAATCATACTGTTGTGGCACATGAGCAAACATCCACAACCATACTATTGTGCCACCTGAGCACACATCTACAACCATACAGTTGTGCTACCTGGGCACACATTCGCAACCATACTATTGTGGCACATGAGCAAACATCTACAACCATACAGTTGTGCTACCTGGGCACACATTCGCAACCATACTGTTGTGGCACATGAGCAAACATCTACAACAATATTATTGTGCCACCTGGGCACACATCCACAACCATACTGTTGTGCCACTTGGGCACACACCCACAACCATACTGTTGTGCTACCTGGGCACACACCCACAACCACACTGTTGTAGCACATGAGCAAACATCTACAACCATACTGTTGTGCCTCTAAAGCGTATTCATTAATGTACAACACTGTCATGTATCTTTGTATTTTTGAAATACAATAACATACGAAACGAGTAAGTACGAAATCACATGATGTATACTACCTCGATAATTTGGTCGTTGACTTTGATCCGGCCACAAAGGTCAGCAGCACTAGCTTTGGCAATACTCTTCACAAATATACCAGAAATGTCCTCTATGGAAAAAAAAAGAAATTCATAACTAAATTGGACATCATCACAACTCCGAAACAGAACTCTTTTGAAAACTTCTATTATATTTTCAAGCGATTTTCTATGAGTCTGATATTTTAAATGGGCACACATAGTGATATGAGGTAAATTGGACATCATCACAACTCCGAAATAGAACTCTTTTGAAAACTTCTATTATATTTTCAAGCGATTTTCTATGAGTCTGATATTTTAAATGTCATAATGACATAAACTTTTTCTAAGTATTTTTGGTCTCAGGGTAGAACTAACTATGTTAAAAAAACAAGTGTGGATAATCTTGGGGAATGAGCCGTGGACAACTTACAAGATCCTTGGATATGATGATTGTCAACATTAGTGTGATGATTATCTTGGGGAAATAACCGGAATTAGCCGTGGACTTTGTTGCACAACTTACAAGATTCTTGGATATGATGATTATCTTGGGGAAATAACCGGAATGAGCCGTAGATTTCGTTGCACAACTTACAAGATCCTTGGATATGATGATTGTCAACATTAGTGTGATGATTATCTTGGGGAAATAACCGGAATTAGCCGTGGACTTTGTTGCACAACTTACAAGATTCTTGGATATGATGATTATCTTGGGGAAATAACCGGAATGAGTCGTAGATTTCGTTGCACAACTTACAAGATCCTTGGATATGATGATTGTCAACATTAGTGTGATGATTATCTTGGGGAAATAACCGGAGTAAGTCGCGGATTTCGTTGCACAACTTACAGATCCTTGGATATGATGACTGCCAATATTAGTGTGATGATTATCTTGGGGAAATAACCGGAGTGAGTCGTGGATTTCGTTGCACAACTTACAAGATCCTTGGATATGATGAGTGCCATTATTAGTGAGATGATTATCTTGGGGAAATAACCGGAGTGAGTCGCGGATTTCGTTGCACAACTTACAAAATCCTTGGATATGATGACTGCCAATATTAGTGTGATGATTATCTTGGGGAATAACCGGAATGAGCCGTATATTTTGTTGCACAAGTTACAACTTTCTTTGATTTTATGCAAATAGAATATAACTTATTTTTCTGTTCCTAGGATTCATTAAAACACATATACACAGCTTAATAAGCTAAAAATGTTTTTTTCTATTTATCTATCAGTCGATGTGTGTATGTATATAAAGAGGTGATGTATGTGTAGATGTGGTAAAGGACATCTTATATTATTTTAAATTTATATGACATATTCTATGAGCAATGTCGTGAAACGCGTTGATAAAGCTCGTTGATGGATGCTGTGTTGTAACACTGAATCATATATAATATGACGAAACTAACTGAAACACGCTAAACAAAAGCTAAAAAAAAATCATTCTGATAATCATTTCTAACGGATGATTTGCTTAAGTGAACCCAAAATAGTTCATTATGTATATATACGTCACAAAATACTTCAGAATATTCATCTTTTACTTTTGCGACTGGACATTAAAGAAGGTGATATAATTTCGTAGTTGTATGTCCTTACAACAACAAAGTAAAATCCTTCATTACATCAAACACTACTATACAACAAACACGTCATTATACCAAAAAGACAACTTTTTTCTTTTAGTACATATTAATTTAAAAACCCTACATTACAAAAATAGAATGAAGCTGGGTAATAAATAGTAAAAAAAAAAATGTTAAATACATTACTGTGAAATTAAAAACTGAACTTATAATTAAATCATAAAAGCATAGAATTAATTAAAATGAATTATCCGGTAATTACCTCAGCTGATAATTAGTGTAACCGGGTGTGACCTAGCGAATAGCGTGCCGAACTATAGGCCCAGGAATGTATGGTTCGTGTCCTGTTGCTGCCAAATCACGCTCTGCACTTGGGAGCCGCAGATGTTTTATGAAAATAACGGTCACATCCTATTATTCGATTAGAATAGTCCAAGAGTTAGCGATGGATGCTGTTATCCATCTAGTCTGTCATATGTCTGCGGACTTACAACGCTAGAAACCGGGTTTCGATACCCGTGGCGGGCAGAGCACAGATAGCCCATTGTGTAGCTTTGTGCTTAACTTCAAACAAACAAACTAGTCTGTCAGTTCAACACCAGAGACGCAGATAGCCCTTGCGTAGCTTTGCATGAATATCCGAAACAAAACACTGAAACCACTACCATAATATGCAAAATTCGGATTTTCTTAAACGTATATTTTTTTACTGGATCACAAATTGATAATTGATAAAAAAGACTAAAGAAGCTTGAAGTTCTTACTTATAGTCCACACACATGTATAATATATATAAATACATAATGTAAACATTGTTTAAACAGTAGAGTTAATATTTCCATCAAAAGGTAGAACACATATCCCACATTATAATTTGTACCCTGTTGATTTGGTTTTGGTTGTACAGCGTTATATTTTTGTTAAGGCTTGTGTTTTATTAATATATATACATATATTGTTTGTTGTTTTGAAGATAAGCACAAAGCTACACAATGGGCTATCTGTGCTCTGTCCACCACAGGTATCGAAACCCGGTTTCTAGCATTGTAAGTCCGAAGACATGTCTCTGTGTCACAGGAGGCGTATATATATATATATATATATACATTGTAAACATAAACGTTATTTAAACAGTTAAGTTAATATTTACAT